TTATGATAAAAGATAAGTTAGATATAAAACCTTAGACTCACAAATATAACATAGATAGGATAACTTCTTTAATTTTGCCAAATACAAATAGACTAGATACTATAAATAGACTAGATATTGTAACTGTAATTCTTGCTTGATAATTGTTTTGTTATATGTAATTTTACTGTTAAAGTTAAAACCTTCCTTTTTGAAAAAAAGAAAAGGGGAAGTGCTGGAGATGTCTTTCTGTATTCTGTGAATGTGCTGCTCTGATTGATTGATAAATAAAACGCTGATTGGTCAGTAGCCAGGCAGAAAGTATAGTATAGGCGGGATAAGCAGAGAGGAGAATGCTAGGAAGTAGAAGGCTGAGTCAGGAGATGTCAGTCCGCTGTCCAGGGAGCAGCATGTAACAGGCACACAGGTAAAGCTACGGAACATGTGACAACATATAGAATAACAGAAATGGGCTGAGTGCTGTGGGATGGTCTGTATGTCAAATTGCTCTGATTGGTCAATAAATAAAACACTGATTGGCCAGTGGCCAGGCAGGAAGTATAGGCGGGACTAACAGAGAGGAGAATTGAGAGAACAGGAAGGCAGAGGGAGACACTGCCAGCCGCCGCCATGACAAGCATCATGTGAAGATGCCGGTAAGCCACAAGCCACGTGGCAAGGTATAGATTTATAGAAATGGATTAATTTAAGATGCAAGAACTAGATAGCTAGAAGCCTGAGCCATTAGGCCAAACATTTTAAACAATATAAGTCTCTGTGTTTACTTGGTTGGGCCTGAGCGGCTGTGGGACTGGCGGGTGACAGAGATTTGTCCTGACTGTGGGCCAGGCAGGACTGTGGAAAACTCCAGCTACAGGCTGAGTTTAAGTGTAAGAGCTAGTCAGTGGTAGGCCTGAGTTAATGGCTGAGCAGTTTTAAATAATATTAGCCTGTGTGTGTTTATTTGGGTCTAAGTGGTTGCAGGACTGGTGGGTGAGAGAGATTTGTCTTGACCACAGGCCAGGCAGGACAAGAGAAAACTCCAGCTACAGGCTGGTGTACTTTTAGGAAAAGGAAAATAATCTGGGGGTGAGTACTTGCCTAGTATACAGAAGGCCAGGTGTGAGTTTCATCTCCAGAACCTCCCCACCCCACATAAAACAAACAACCCCCCAATAAACACACACAAAAAGTGGAGGCTCAGACACACATGGAGTGGATGCCACAGACCGACAGAGACAAGAGCCACTCAGTTAAGGCTAAGGTCAGTGTTGGAAACCATCAGGAGCTAGAAAAGGCAGAAGGACTCAGATCGCAGAGATGCTTGTCCCTGCTGCCATTCCAATGCCAGCCCTCTGGCTCTGAAGTTCCTAAGCCATCCTGCTTATGATACTCTCATGGTAAAACCAAAGCTTTGGTAGGGTACAAAGTGTCTTTTTGCATTATCGAGGAGACCAACGACTAGTCATTAGTGAGGGGCAGCCTAGTCATTAGTACAGCAATAACTGCCTTGTGTGAACGAGCAGCCCAAGGAAAGTAGGATGTGCAGACACACTGGCGCACAAGTGAGCACATTGTGTCGGGAGCCTGACTCAGGACATTTGAAGGGTTATCTGAGCACATTGTGTCGGGAGCCTGACTCAGGACATTTGAAGGGTTATCTGAGAACAAGATGGACTGGGATCATCTGCTGGCTCCCAGATCCTGAGAAGTAGAGAACCACCCAGAGATGCCTAATCGGGCACCTTGCTGGGTCACTTCCCTTCACCCTCCAGATGGGCACAAGTACTTGTCAGTCTTCCAACCCCTGCCCCCCAAACCTAGACAATTAAGCTGGGCCAGGATAGGGTCTGGCTACAAGATAAAAATTTTGGATTCAGCCCTGGGTGGAGGCATGGGGTCAGGCAGCAGGGACAGCCCTCCCAGTCCTAGTGAAGGAAGAATGCTACTGCTTATTTTAACAGAAAGTCTGCTGGAGGCCAAGCTGAGGGGTGACATAGCCAAGACTGGGGGAGCTTGGAGAGGAAAAACTGGCTGAATGATCCTTTCAATGTGATTTTCCGGTGAACTGATCTGTGTCCTAGCTCACCACTGTCATTTGGAGGATGCATGCTGCGATGTCTGCTTTGCTGCTTGGCACCCATGCTCTCCACGCTGGAAAACAGCACACAGACTCAGCGTTGCATTGGTGACTCTGCATTCCCCTCTGGCCCTGGTTGGGCCTGCTGCACTTTCCTAGACTCGGACAGCCCATGAATTCCACATCCTTGCACAGTGGAGGTTCATGGATGGGAACACACACATATGTTGCCCAGAGGGAAAAGGTGACACTCAGTCTCAGGATTATATTGAAGTCACAGCAAAGGAGCTTTCTTCCCCCAGACTCCTATCACTAGAGTCCAGGGCTGCTAAGGCCACCATCAGAGGAGGCCCTGCCCAAGTAGAGCTAACCTTGGGTAGCAGCACTATCAGAGAGCAACACACAGGTCCTCAGATGTGACTGTACTGAGAACTCAAAATGCTCATGGCCTCATGGCTACTCCTCAGTTTTCAAACCAATCAAATACCTGCTAAGCAAGACAACTGGTGGTGAAGTAAATCATCATCACAAGAAAAACCAAACCAAACCAAAAAAACTCCTTCTAACATAGGAAAAAGAAGTCCATTGGAAGTTTCTTGGAATAAGATAAATCATTGAAATATTCTGTAGGCAGTACTATCAAGTATCCCTCAGGAAGCCTGGCTCATATGAACATACCTGATGTACAATATAGAGCTTTCTTACTTTCATCGGATGTGAAAAGGACCATTTCAAGGATCAATGCCAGTCTGGTGTTTGCTGGTGGTTTTTTTTTTTTTTTTTTTTTAATGTATTAAAGCTAGAATGGCAAGTCACAAGTCCCTGTTAAAGATGCTACACTGAGTTCCCTATGGCTGTCACAGTAGAGGGGAGGAAAACTGATCTAGAAAATAATCAAGAGTAGTATATAAGCATAGCAGGGTATCTTAACATGCTTCTCCTACGTCAGGTCACTCGGGTCCTGAGCCTGGAGCTAATGCTCCCCTTAGCCACTATACTTCCCTTTAGTACCCACCAGCAGCATGGAAAGTCTTAGTCATTCAGCCTCTTCCCTATCTCTATTCCCTATCTCTATTCCAGATGGTTACAACTGCCTTGCTCTACCCACATTCCTGCCAGACAAACATTCTTTACACCCGACTTCAGTTACCTTTATCCAGGTCTTAATTCCAAAACCCTCTGTGGCCCCCCCCCCATCTAGAAATTAAAATGCTGATTCTGTCCTGACACCTTGTTTCCCCCATTCTCACTTCTTGTCTTGAATTTGCTGTTACTTTTGAGACAGTCTCACTATTCAGCCCTGACTGGCCTCACCCAGAGCTCCTCCTGCTTGGCACCTCGAGTACTAGGACTAAAGGCAGGTAGGTGCCACTATGCCTCACTATGTCATGAATTTTAGAGAGCATCCAAAGTTATTGAACACTTAAAGGTATACCCCTGGCTCTGACTTCTCCAATTCTTTGACCATCTTCAAGGGCCTGGCCTATGCCAGGTGTTGTAGAACACACTTTTAATCCCAGTGCTTGGAAGGAGGATCTCTGTGAGTTTGAGGTCAGCGTGGTCTATGTAGGAGTTACAGGGCTACAAATGACAGTCTCAAAAAAAAAAAAAAAAAAAAAAGAGCAGGCCTTTCTACTTTGACAACAGTTGTATTCAACTGGGTCTGAGTCTCTGGTCTTAACTAGCACCTTCTGGGATGCACCAAGACTTACAAACAGAATGTTAAAGGCAGATACAAGTGTGTCCCCAATAAAAGCAAAACAAATAACTGGTACTGAAGACCCTGGCAAGGAGGGCTGTGGGGCAGTGTGGCCAGAAACACCAGGACCTCAAGATGGGCAGCTGCAAAAACATTCATTTTCAGACCGTGCACTGGGAGACTTTCCACCCCTTACTCCCCCACCTTCCCCCAGTCTTCAGAAGTCTTGGCATGTTCGTGGCTCCACAAAACCCACCACGGAGCCTTCTGGATCTGTGCAATGCTGGGTTACTAGCTGGTCACCAGCCCTGGGTGCTGTCCCAGCTGTCCCTAGGGCAGCCCTAGCCAGGAGTGTCAGGTGACATTTACCCTAGCATTGCTTATAAACTGTAACTAAGCCCAAACTCTTATATTTTTGGTTGTGAGCCTACCCTTTAAAGCCATGTTTCCAGCCCTAAGCCCAAACTCAATGTAGCAACTTTCAAATACTTTGTTACAAGGAAATGAAAATGTTTCCAGTTTTCTTTTCAAGAAACGTAAATGTTACAATATTAAGTACTGATTTGAGACCAATTAATCTTAGGGATTGAAAGTATTTTTAGAGAATCTTAAAGCTTATAAAACATCTCAAACCAAACCAAATTAACACCCCCACCTCCAAAAAAAAAAAAAAAAAAAAAAAAAAAAAAAAAAAAACCAACACAGATCAAAGTGTAGCCTACCCGAGGCCAGAGCTACTGTCTTTAGTCTTGTGGTAATTGGTCCTGTTCAGTAACGCACCCAGAAGAGGACAAGGCGGGGCTGGACCCGGATTGCCGACACTAAGGCCGAGATGCGCTGCCCGGAGGCCTGAAGCGGGCAGCGGCCACGTCCCTCCACGGCCAGGTGTCTTCCGCCTCGGTGCCTGCTGAGGACCGAGGCCGCGCGGGGTCACAGAGCGTCGCGGAGACGAGCCCGCGGGACGCTGCGATGCCAGCCTCCGCTCCCTTCGGAGGAGCCTCGCCTCGGTCCGGCCGCCCCCACCCCGGGCCACTGAGGCGAGGGCAGCGGAGGAGCAGCCCGGGCCGCCTCTGCCCAGCGCCCGGGCCGCAGCCACGCTCCCATGGCAACCAGGCCGGCCCGCGTTATACGCCTGCGCGTCCGCCCGCAGGCGCCTGCGCGCGCAGCCACGCCAAGCGGATTCCGGCTGGGGAAAGGTCCTGTAGCCGGAGGTTTCGGGTCGTGCCTGCCTACGTAGAGAAAAGCGTTCCGGGCGGCGCCTGCACACCACAGTTCCGGGAGGGCGGAGGAGAGGGCGTCAGTCATTGTCATCAAGTGCACGCAGAGTCCGCTGCCGGAGCCCTGCAATGTGTGCTGTGCTCCGCCAACCCAAGAGCGTCAAGTTGCGAGCCCTACACAGCGCGTGCAAGTTCGGCGTGGCAGCCCGGAGCTGCCAGGAGTTGCTGCACAAGGGCTGCGTCCGCTTCCAGGTGGGCCGGGTTTTGGGGCAGGCACTGCGGTGCGAGGACCCTGGCTACTGCTCACACGGTTTCCTCCCCTTGGATGGGCTTGGACGGGTGCTGGGTTCCTGTAGTCTGGTGGCATCCTGAGCTGGCTGTCTGAAAGCCTGGACTGTGTGGGACAAGCTGCTTGCTCTTCCTGTCCTCCAGCTCCCGGTGTCGGGCTCCCGGCTGTGCTTGTACGAAGATGGCACGGAGGTGACCGACGACTACTTCCCGGGACTTCCCAACGACGCTGAACTCCTGCTGCTCACTGCTGGCCAGAACTGGCAAGGCTGTGAGTAGGAACACTTTGGAGATGGGCAGGACCCACACGGTTTAAGCCCGGGTCCAGGGGCCTGGGCTAGTAGATCAGGTCAGGGGCGCTGAATGCCAAGAGCCTTTGATGAGGAACTCTGTTTTCAGTGTTGTTGTTTTTTTTTTCTTCCGTGTGTGTGTGTGTGTGTGTTAAATTTATTTCCTAACTGCCAAGGGCAAGGGGGAAGGATTAGGGAAGGCCCGGGAAGGTGTTGCTGAGCTGGACTGTGCAGGGCAGGCACGCTCACCCTTGCCTAGGGCTGTTCTTCGGCATGTGAATGCTGAAATGCTGTCAGGGATCATGGTTTTCATTAAAGCTATTCTAGGTAACTGTGGGATGACAGCTCCCTGTGGCCTTAATATGAATGTCTCTGGTGGCTAATGGGATTGGATATCATCTTCCTGTGTTCCCATTTGCCACCTGCAGGAGTCTTCATGTCTTTTTTGTTTTTAATCGAATTTTTTAAGCTGTTGAAGTATTTACCCCACCCCTAGAAAATCCTGGTTATGACTTCGATGTCAGATAATGTGATTTTCAAATATCTCCTGTTGTGTACCTTTTCACTCTCCATATTGGAACTGAGCTCCAACCAGCTGAGCTAACTGACCATGCTCTTTTCATGCTCTATAGTAGAATAAAAGGTCCAGACTTGGGAGGGAAAGGGAGGACAAGGTTACATACATGTAGCCGAGGCTGGCCTTAACTTCACTCTGTAGCTAAGGCTGGTCTAAAGCTTCTAATTTCCTGCCTCCACCTACCAACTGCTGACATTCCAGGCATGTGCTGCACACCCAGCTTCCAAGTTTCTGACTTTGATGACATCCAGACTGTCATTTTCTTCTCTGTGCATTTTCACCATCCAGAAACCTCTTGTCAAGTCCTACTTCCTGAGGTTCCCTCCTGCATTTTCTGCATCCGTTGGTGTGTTCATTAGACTTTACTTCTTCAGCTTGTTAACACAGCAGATCTCACTGAGTTTTTTGAGTATGAACCAGACTTGCAGCTTCACTTGGCTGTGGTCTGTGCTTTTTAATTGGTACTGGGTTCTGTTTGCTCCTGTTTGGATAAGATCCTCAGGAGGATGTACTCGGCGTTCAGCACTTGCTGGGAAAGCTCACTGTAGTCACTTGTGGACAGGGTCTCTGGGAAAGTAGAGAGAGGGATTAGAAGGCCTGGAAGTGGGTCCCTAAGGGATTGAGCGAAGGAGGTGACTTAGTGTGGAGGAGAGAGGGCCAGAAGAAGAGAAGTGTGCTTCTCTAGATCACCACAACCCCATCACCTGACAGGAGGTGGCCAGAGGAATGGAACTGGTAGTGCCACACCTGTGGAGGTGTCAGGTGTCAAGTACCAGGGCAAGGGTTGTGACACCAGAGTCTTGACTTTGGGCAGTCTCTGGGCTGAGTGGACAGGATCCTCTTCTTGGGGCCAGAACAGCGTGCATGTGTTTCTGTTTGTGCCCCGCCCGCAGGGCTTCAACGGGTTCTCGACCACCTTAAGGACGGAATGATAGGGACAGGAGATACAAGGAAATACACCAAGTCTAGATTCTGATCAAGGTGTAACTTTATTTTTCTCCAAGAGGGTTTATATAGTTCCTGCAGGGTTGGGGGGAGCAAGAAGCTGTCATCTGCATAAGGTGGGGCAAGCTAACAGGATGTTTGTATAGGATGTTTACAGGGTGAAAGGGTCAAGGGCTCTGCCTCAATGTCCTGTTGCTAGGCAACCTGACTGTAAGATGATCTAGTTCCCTGTCTTATGGGGGTCTGTATTTTTCCACTAACTAGAGATTCTATCCTTGTCCCTGACATGTTTGTCTCCTGGAGTGGCAGATGTGAGTGACATCACTCGCTTCCTCAGTGTGTTTAATGAGCCACATGCCGGGGTCATCCGGGCTGCACGGCAGCTGCTGTCAGATGAGCAGGCCCCACTGAGGCAGAAGCTGCTGGCCGACCTTCTGCATCATGTCAGCCAGAACATCACTGCTGAGACCCGGGAGCAGGACCCATCCTGGTTTGAAGGTATGTGGACTGGGGTGACCATGTGGCCAGGGTGTCTGGGGCAGGCGGAGAAGGGCCTCTTTAGAGCAGAGGCTCAGGAGGATCTCAGTCTATTTCAGATCCCGATGCTTCCCAACCAAGGGTGACAGGCCTCTGGAGTGATAACAAAAGGTGTCCATGGGAAGGCATCTGGCTGGGACTCCTGGCTGGAGGCAGTGTCCAGGGCAGCCTCAAAATAGTCTTTTCTCTTTTTCTTTTAAGTCATTCTTCCAAAAGCCATGGGAAAATACATGGAATGTGGAGTTTACCACCTTAGCGAGAGAGAGAGGGAGAGAGAGAGAGAGAGAGAGAGAGAGAGAGAGAGAGAGAGAGACAGACAGACAGAGAGAGAGAGAGAGAGAGAGTCAGAGAGTCAGAGGATAACCCTGGGTGTCATCCTCAGGAATGGTTGGAGCCTATCAGTTAGGCCAGGCTGACTGGCCAGCAAACTTCAGGAATCTGTCCTATATACTTCATACCATCCCTAGGTCATTTAAGTTACCTGATGCAATGCAGATTCTGGGAAAGTAGTAGTTGGCTGTTCTCTTTAAGGAATAATGACAAGAAAACACAGTCTGTAGGGTCCTGGGGGATGGCTCAGTGGGTAGTGCTTGCTGCTTAAGCTTGAGGACTGGAGTTTAGATCCCAGCACCCAGGTAAGATCCAAGTGTACATGCCTAACCTCAGTGTTGGGGGCAGGGTCAGGCAGATCCTTGGGGTCCACTGGTCAGCCAGTATAGCCCCAACAGTGAGCTCCAGGTTTAGTGAGAGACACTGTCTCAATAAATAAGGGTGGAAAGTGACAGGGGAAGACACTCAGTGGTGACCTCTACCTCTTCACATGTGCCATGCATGGGTGAGTGCACCTGCACAGATGTGCGCACACATGCATACATTCTTACACGCCACATACAGACACACACAAACTCGGCATCCTTTAAAACAGAAAACAATCCACATACTTAGTTTGGATGCAAGGGTTTTTTTTTTTTAATTATTTATTTGTTTGTTTTTGGTTTTAGTTTTTCAAGGCAGGGTTTCTCTGTGTAGCCCTGACTGTCCTGGAACTCACTTTGTAGACCTAGGCTGGCCTCAGACTCAGAGATCTACCTACCTCTGCCTCCCAAGTGCTGGGATTAAAGCTGTGCACCTACCCAGATGTAAGATTTTTCAATGGTTAGGGTCTGTGGTTGGGTGAATCTATTGTACAGAAGGCTGGTGGTGCAGTTGGTGGCACTCATGCATCCAAACACCTTCACCTGTCATCGGCCCTGGTGTTTGATGTCAGAGCCCATTTCATCTTGCACAGCCCATGCTCTGTGGCTCTGCAGCCCAACCCTCTCACTCCACGGTCCAGCTCTATAAATAGAACTCCTCCTCCATGTGACACCTATGTGAGTGGAGTCACATCTCTCCCTGCCCCTTTCTTGTCTGCTTGGCTCCTGAGCTGTGCGGGACACAAACCAAGAGGTCATGGTTTGCCTATGGATTCCAGAATCATCTTTCTTGCAGGTTTGGAGTCTCGATTCAGGAATAAGTCTGGCTACCTGAGATATAGCTGCGAGAGCCGGATCCGGGGCTACCTGAGAGAGGTAAGGCCATGCTTACCAGATCATGCTGAGTGAGTGCTTAGCACAGGATGGATCATTTGGTAGGGTTTCCACCCCTCTGCTGATGCATATCTGTAAGGTTGCTTCTAAGTCAGCAGAAGGCATGTATACCTCAGAGAAGCAAAAGCCTCCTGTCTCTATGCATCTGTTCTCTTCTGCACTTTAGCCTCTGACCCTGTTGTCCAGCAGGTGTGAGAACCTTTCTGGGCCATGTGCTTTGGTTAGGGTCAGAGGCCTCAAGTCTCAGCTCTTATTCTCTTCTCTTTGGCAGGGATCCTGTTCAGAGCAGCACCAGCTCGCTTCTTGTACATCTGGCAGGTCTGTTCTGATGTAAACTTCTTTCCATTATAGATAAGTTTTCTGCATCTGCTCTGATGTCACCTTCTTAATTGGGTGGTAGTTTCCCCTAACACTTGTGTTTATTTTTTTCTCTGGGTACATTGCAGTCCTCTGACCTCGGAAAAGTGGAACAGAGGACTGAAGATGCCTTTTGCTTGGGGTGCATTGTAGATATGCTCTGAATGACTGCGGGGTCTCAGCTCCTGAGTAGACCAAGGCCTTCACTGTGAAGAGTGACCAGTGGTTCCAGTGCAGCCATACCTAGCCTAACTCCAGAAGGAGGCTGTTTCTGATGCCCTGTCCTCCTCTGCCTGGCTTCCTTTCAGTGCAGACATGAATGTCAGTGAGATGCGGAGTGGAAGGAGACCCTCTCTGGTGAGTGGGACCTGCCCATACTGAGGGCAAGAGGTGCCTGTCACTCTACCAGGAGAGCCTTTTGTGCCTTTCTGCACTGGGCTCCACATGACACCTTCATTTAGATAGGATGAGCAGTGGATGGGTGGTTTGGGGACAGCAGCTTGGCTCGTAGGGACCTTTTCCTCCCTGCTCTCCTTAGGGGCGTATTTATCAACAGAACCTTGGGTAATTGCCCAGCAGTTGGCGAGTGGCACAGGCTTGGGGCTTCTCTGTCTGTCTGTCTTACATCATGTCACCCCTGAGCTGCTTGGTTGAGAGTAGATCCTAAGGCTGTTTTCTTCCTTCATGAACACCCTCCTCTCAAATCTTATTCTGTTGTGTAGCTTGAACTAAGTGTTAGTGTCCTATGGGGAAAACCTGACCTGTGCATGTGTTCCCAGAGCCACCTGCTGGTTGAATCTACCCCCATTTCCCAAGGGTATGGAGGACCTGTCTGACCAGCTGGCCTGAAACCCTGAGTGCCTGGGCTGTTCGCTCATCACTGTGGACACTGTCTGCCTGCACTGGGCCTGCTGGGCTCTCAGGCCATATCTCCACTGGGCATGCTCCATGATTTCCTTCTTAAGCTGCTGTGGCACTGCCCTCTACAAACCTACCTGTTAGTCGTCTTCCGTACTGGAGTGAGGTCTGTAGGAGCACTGTGGCAGGCAGTGGGGACAGTGGTACTCCATGCCTGACTGCTCTGCCCAGGTTCCTTCTAGGTGGCAGTAGCCAACCTCAGGCAGACAGGAGGCCTGACCTGAGAGAATACATAGAGCTTGAGTTTGCTGGACTATGACCAAAACTAGGCGGGTGCCAGCCGAGGCCTGAGTGGCCGGCAGCTGGAGCAGCAGGTGTGGATCCCCTTCACCCTGGGCTTTCTTTGTTTTTAAACCTTTTATCGTCCTCTTCTCCCTCCCAAAGTGGGGTCAGCTTGGCCTTCATTGTCTGCTCATTTGCATGTAAGGCTCCTCATCGATTGGCAGGTAGAAAGTGATGCCTTAAAGTGGCATGTGCTGTCCCTGTATTCCCCGTACCCAGCTTAACTCACTCAGTGTGTCACAGCTGCTAATGTTTTGGTGTCCTGTGTTCTGTACTTCTTGTGGCCTTGGTGACTGTTCCCACATGACCTAACATTGTAGGTGCCCTGACTGGTCCTGGTACCTAACCTTTGGCAGCATGGACTGGAGCCTTTCTGTTACTGCTGCTCACCTGAGCAGAGGGAACACTGCTCCTGCTGACTATGTGATCTTAATCCCCTCCCACCCCCCACCAGGATCTTGCTATGTAGAGCAGGCTGGCCTTTTGGATCCTCCTACCTCAGACTCCCAAGTGCTCGGATTACAAATGTGTGCTACTCTGCCTGGCCTGTTCTTGTTTTGTTCTCCCAGCCTGATGGAGGCATTGTTGATTCCATTTCATGGGCCCAGAATGGTTTCCTAGGCTGGGATAGTTGAGCAGTGGTCAGACACTGACTGTAGGACTGGGCTTAGGCAGGTTCCTGATGACCAATGCATGGCACAGGTTGGTGACTGAATGCAGGCTTCTGGGCATGGTCGGGGCATGGGCTCAGGTTCAGTGATGCCTCTGGCTCACTCTTACAGGTAAGTGCACACGCCTGTGTGGTGGATCCAGCGGCTCGAGAAGAATATGAGCGGGTCCTTAGCTCCATGTGCCGGAAGCTCAAGTCTGTGAAGTACAATGGCAGCTACTTCGACAGAGGTGCAAAGGCCAGCAGCCGCCTCTGTACTCCAGAAGGCTGGTTTTCCTGCCAGGTGAGCTTTGTGCCCTTTGTTCTGGGGTTACTAAGAGTACTGCTGAGCACAGCCTTCCTGGGGTGAGAGGCGGGGAGGACATTCCGCAGCTGGCCAGAGGGTAGATGCTGGTGGCCCTCACATTCAGAGTGCAGGAGGAGGTAGGGATGGTGGTATGCAGTTGTTGGGGTGTTAGTATGTGGTACCATAGGAGCAAAGGAGCATGCTGGGGATAACAGGTCTGATCCTGTGTGGCTGTGTAGAGGCACCTAGCAAAGGATGATTCTCTAGTAACAGGGACAGAAATGCCTTCATCTTTGGAAACTCAGAATATAAGATCAGGGGTAATGGAATGTTGGGGGCAGGTAGAACTCCAAAGGCAGAATTTTTAAAAATTAGGTTTATTTTATGTGTATGGGTGTTTTGTCTGTGTATATGTCTGTGCACATGTGTGCCTGGTACCCCGTGGAGGCCAGAAGAGGGTGTCAAGGGTGTCAAATCACCTGGAACTGAAGTTACAGGTGGTTGTGAGCCACATGTGGTGCTGGGAATCAAACCTTGGTCCTCTAGAAGAACAGCCAGTGCTCTTAATCCTCTGATCTCTCCAGCCCACAAAGAGAATTTCCAGTCTCTGATGAACAGCAAACACTTTTGTTTTTTTTTAAATGAGGTCTTAATATATAGTTGAGGCTAGACTTAAGATCACTATATAGTCCGGACTGACTTAATGTTTATTTTTTTTATTTTTATTTTTTTTTAAAAAGATTTATTTATTATGTACACAGTGTTCTGCCTACATGCCAGAAGAGGGCACCAGATCTCATTATAGATGGTTGTGAGCCACCATGTAGTTACTGGGAATTGAACTCAGGACCTCTAGAAGAGCAGTCAGTACTCTTAACCTCTGAGCCATCTCTCCAGCCCTAATGTTTATTTTATTTTTGTGTATATGTGTGTAATGTTTGTGTGTGAGTGTGCATATGTCATGGCATGGGTGTGGTCAGAGGACAAACTACTCCTGACTTTTACATGGACTCCAGGATCCAAACATGGTTCTCAGGCTTGTGTGGCAAGTGCTTTTCCTGCTGAGCCATCTCCCTGGCCTTAAACTCGAAATCCTCTTGCCTTTGCCTCTTAGTGCTGGGGATAAAGGTGTTGCCACTGTGCCTGGTTCAAACTTCTGTTCATGGATTAAATGCCTCGTGGGGCCTACTCCTTAGCAAGCTTGTTGGCTTGGAGGAGAGCAATAACATACCTCACTCCTGCCTTTCTAACCCCTGCCGTGGTCACTGCAGGGCCCCTTTGACCTGGATAGCTGTCTTTCCAAGCACTCCATCAACCCCTATGGCAACAGGGAGAGCCGGATCCTCTTCAGCACCTGGAACCTGGATCATATGTGAGTGTCTGTCACCAAGATTCAAGTTCACTAACCAGAACTAACCCAGTATCTGATTGGGTTCCCACGCCTGCTCAGGCAGCTCAGGTCTGGTATGTTACACCTGAGCCCAGGGACAGACCCCACATGCTTATGGAAGGGGCTTCTGGCCCACATTAGGGCTATGGTGTGGGAGGTCACAGCTGGGCAAGCTGTAGCCGTTCCTCCTGAACCAGGGCAGGGCAGGAACATACTTCGGCAGCTGTGGTACTCTCCTGACTGTAACTACCCTTGACCTTGCTTTATGAAGGCAGAGTGCTCCAAGTACCCCAGTTGGTACCTGACTCTTGGCATCAAAACTATTAAAAAAGTATAAGTAGTGAGTTATATTTGAACCCTTTACCCTCTGTACTCAGTGCCCCTTCCCTGTTGTCAGGGAAACTACTGTCTTGAAATAGGCCCTGCTAATGCCTCTTGTACACCTTTACCAGGAAGTGTGGACTTGGATGTGTGCTGTCTGTCCACACAACTCAGGCAACAGCACAGACTCCTTCACTTGTTGGCAGAGTCTAGCTCTACATTTGTTCCCCTACTGGGCATTTAGGCCATTCTGAGAATTCACCGTTATCTAACTCTGGGATGAAACACTAGTCGCCCAGTTCCATGCCTGACAATCTTTCTGTGCACTGGCTGCATCCATAGCTGTTGAGGAATGCAGCCTTGGGCCCTACCCAGCATCATGAGGGAAATTAATTCCTGTGGTCCCCTTCTGAGTATGTCCAGCCTTCTCTGGATGTTCCAGTTCACAGATTGCAAGTGTCCTTGCCGCCACTCGGTGTCACTGTGCCTTTTTGCGTTTCCCTGTCTGAGGAGAGCACCCACTTGACTGCCTCTGTTTCCTGGCCCCTGGAAGGCTGCGGCCTCTTTGTGGCTCTGCCAGTGTGGCTTTCATGTCCTTCCTTTTGCTTGTTTACTTTTGTCCTGGGCACTGATTCTCTTCTGCTTGTCTGTGTGAGAGACATTGTTGCTATATTTTTGGCACATTTCTGATGTCTTCTATCACGACTGGATAGGGTGGCTGTGGTAAGCCCTAGAAGACTAGGCCCCTTCCTTAGGGCCTGAGGCACTGCTCTTGTCAGAATCCTGACTGCAGATTGTGCACAGAGCCCGCCATTCCTCCTGCGGGTGCAGGGCATCTCTCTGCTCCCCATCGTCTGCAGCTGCTTTTGCCCTGTGTTTAACTGCAGCGAGTTTTGCTTTTATTTTTATTCCTACTTTGTGTTCCTTTAGTTTCTCCTTGTTCTCTGGTTTCTCTCTTTTGTGTTTTAACATATGCTCGAGGCTACATGTCTCCAGCTGCACCTGACTTTAGTGTTTGAGATCAGTGTGACTGTTCTGATGTGTGTTTTGGGCAGGTCTTGGAGTTCCCAGGGCTGTTCTGTCATTGCCTGTCATTCTGCTCGTCCTTCTTGTGCTCTGGTACTTGAAGGTCGAGACTCTCTATGCCTACTCTGCTCTTGGTCTCCCGCTCCCCCTGGCTGGGTGTCTCTTGTTAGCACACTAGCTGCCTTTTGTCTTGTCTAACTGAGACTGTCCTGCTCAGGACCCTTGTCCCAGTGTCTGGATATGGTGGCTGTGCAGTATTTGTTTGATATTTTGTTGCATGAATAAGTAGGTTTGAATTCATTTCATTTGCTGTTTGCTGTGCCTGTTCACTGGTCTTACTAAGTACCCTGTGCCGGGGCTGTTTTTTTGGGTTGTCGTCCCACCTAGCCTTAAGCCTGCACAGATGCTTGTTTTCATGTCAGTGCCTACTCACACCTTCCACTTCTCGGCTCAGTGCCTCCTACATCTCCTTGGTCCTGCTAGGGGTTGGCCAATGAGTGGTCCTAGTACTTGTTAAGGAGGGTCTGAGGGTGAGCTCCCTGTCGAAACTTCTACCACTGAGTGAGTGGAGAGTGACTATCTCACACTGGGTCTGGAATCACAGGCATCTAGGTCCCTTTTGCACTCTCTGGAGGGAGGCTGATCACATTGATTCCTGGCATCTGCTCATGGGAGCTGTTGTCAGTCAGCAGTCTGCCTTTTCAGTGAAGACTAGTTTGTTTCCCCTTAACTGAAAGTGATGCACATCCAGAGACAGAACTTTCTTTTTGGTTCTGCTGTGACTTGTCCTGGAGAGTTCTGATTCTCCTCTGCAGTCTCTTGGATTCCCATGGGCACTCTGAGAACTTCTTGCCACTCACCCCCTTTATGCTGGCTTTGCTTGCATGCTCTGGCTCAATACTGCTTTTTCGGGTAACTTCCTGCTGTGGACTCAATTGTTGTCCCTCATCCCTGCCATCGAAACTGTCACCTGTGGTGGTATTGTGTTCCCCAAAATATTGTGCACCCTAATAAACTTATCTGGGGTCAGAGAACAGAACAGCCACTAGATACAAAGGCTAGAAAATGGTGGCACTCACGCCTTTAATCCTAGCATTCCAGAGGCAGAAATCCCTCTGGATCTCTGTGAGTTCAAGGCCACATTGGAAACAGCCAGGCATGGTGACACATGCCTTTAATCCCAGGAAGTGAGCCTTTAATCCCAGGGAGTGATGGTAGGAAGGAAAGATATATAAGGCGTGAAGACCAGAAACTAGAAGCATTTGGCTGGTTACGCTTTCAGGTTTTCGAACAGCAGTTCAGCTGAGATTCATTCTGGATGAGGACTCAGAGGCATCCAGTCTGAGGAAACAGGATCAGCTGAGGAATTGGCAAGGTGAGGTAGCTGTGGCTTGTTCTGCTTCTCTGATCTTCCAGCGTTCACCCCAATACCTGGCTCAGGTTTGATTTTATTAATAAGACCTGTTAAGATTCCTGCTACAGTCACCCAATGAGACTGCATCTGGAGATAGGTCCTTTGGGAGACAGTTATGATGTCATAGGGAGGAGAGTAATCCAACAAGAACAGACATTCTTCTAAGTGGGAGAGCTTATTCATGCTCTCACTGCTATGTGAGGACAAGTCAGGAAGTTGGTCCTGATCAGACCAGACCACTGTGCAATGGCTTAGATTTCCAGGCTTCAGGGTTGGAAATGATAAATGTGGGGGAGGTGGTTTGCCTTCTACTCTGCTGTTCTTGTGACTGTGCTTGGATCTGAGTTTCTTTTGTGACCATTTTTCTATGGTTGGCTTGTCAAAGTGTCTCTGCAGAGTAGCTCTGCGTTTGTTCCCTGTAGATGTCCCTGTTTCAGTGGCTCTGAAGTGACATGACATTGGTTTTGCTTGCCATTTCTATGTCACATTGGCCATACACACTTGGATCACATGTCTGTGGGAGGCCCAGGCTTGAGGGGGGTCTGTGGGCACCTGTATAAAATGGGTCCACGAACAAACAGGAGTCACTAGGGGCTGAGAAGTGCTCACACATGGGGGCTTGGCTTTGTTGAATGGCCATGTGAGCAACCGGGCCTTCTTGCATTCTTTTTAGTATGTTAAGCAGTGCCCACCATTCAAGTTTGCAAAGTAATAAGACAAGCAGCACTGCTTGTACTGGACTGTGCCACACTGACCATGTCCACCCATGGCCCATGTCAGGGATGGGCCAATGTCACCAGTTTATGAAGCATGGTGCTGGGCTCTTCTGGTTGATTCATCCGTAAGTCCCATCCATTTCACTGCCTCTGCCCTTCTGGAATAGTCCTACTTTAGATTCCTTAAGAATCCTCAAGATCTTCACACCTGTAAGCAGGTGTCTTAGGGTTTCTATTGCTGTGATAAGACACTGACCAAAAGCAATGGAGGAGGAAAGGGTTTATTTCATCTTAAAGCTTATCATTCATCATGAAGGGGAATCAGGACAGTATCTCAAGACAGGAACTGATGCAGAGCCCACAGAGGAGTGCTGGTTACTGGCTTGTTCAGCCTGCTTTCTTATACAGTCCAGGACCACCAGCTTAGGGGTAGGTTGGGCCTACCCACAGCAATCAATCAAGAAAAGGCTTCACAGACTTGCACACACAACAATCTGATAAAGGCATTTTCTCAATCGAGGTTCCCTCTTCCTAAATGACAAAAATCTAACCAGTACAGCAGGGGTATTTGCTATGGTAGACACTGTGCTATGAGTGTCTGTGGCTGATGGGAAAGTGCACAGTGCCCTGTGATGTGTGGCACTGACAGCAGATGGGCCATCTTCCCCTGACTTGGCAGAATAGAGAAGAAGCGCACCGTGGTGCCCACGCTGGCTGAAGCAATCCAGGACGGGCGGGAGGTGAACTGGGAGTACTTCTACAGCCTGCTTTTCACTGCTGAGAACCTGAAGCTGGTGCACATTGCCTGCCACAAGAAGACCACACACAAGCTGCAGTGTGACCACAGCAGGATCTACCGGCCCCAGACAGGATCCAAGAAGAAGAGGCCTGCTCGGAGGCGCCGGTGACACATGCCAGCCCTCTGTGAGGTGACTGCAGTGGTGACAGGGCTACTATGCTTACATTTTGTCACTTAGAAGGTTCTAGAAAAGCCTTTACAAGTCTCTGACAGATCTGAGTATCTTCCCAGTTGGCTCCCCAGCCTCTGACAGCCCAGTGTGCAGAGGACAGTGCTGGGTGCTCATTGTGTCCCTGTGCCAGGGTCTTCATGCACATGGCTCCAGGGCTGAACTTGACCACTGTGGAATGGGGGATGGTGTTAGTTTGTACCTCAGCTTTTATGGCCACCATTTCCACTGCAGTGGCAGCTCTGACTACGTTTCTCTGAAAGAAATGGTACCTCTGGGGTAAACGTTTGCATTTCATAATGAACATGGAGAATGTTCTCTGCCGAACTGTTTAAAATGGCAGGTGAGAAGCCTTCCAGATGTCTCCTGGTGAAATCAGCTGACTGTGGCATTATCTTGAGCTATGTGAAATGGTTTTTAATGGGTTAAATAATGTCTGTCTGCCATGAATCTCATGACCCAACACTGATACATTTATGGATGCACAATTGGAGCATGTTTAAGCTTTTATGTGTAGAGATGGGAAGCTGTTAAAGGCACAGATGGCTTACCTGTGCAGAGAACGACCCTGAATTCATGAAACTCCTGCCTCATCCTTAGAGCTGGTATTTGATATTAAATGTGTATCAGTTTGTGCACAGAGACAGTCTGAGGAAATGCCACACTGATAGCAGTAATCCCGAGGTATTCAGCAGGATGAGATTTGATCACTAAGTACTAATTTCCTACACCATGTTTTTTTATAGTACTTGATTTGTTTTGTTTTGTTTTTTTCTTCTGAGATGGGATCTCACTATGTAGCTCTGGCTGGCCTGGAACTCACTATTAGATCAGCTTAGCCTTGAACTCACAGAGTTTTGCCTCTGCCTCCTGAGTGCTGGGATTAAAGATGTGTGCTACCATGCTCAGCCTGAGGGTTTTTTTTAATGAGTATTTTATATGTTTTGTAATGTTTGGATTTTTATATTTGCCATATAATCAGAAAAACAATAAAGGGTTTCCAAAATAGACATGTCAAGAGTTTGCATGTATTGAGGAGGATGGGGCTAAGGGTGTGATACCAGCAGCTGGTGACTGCCCCAGCTGAGTCCATCTTCACAGGGATGCATGGCAGTGCCTCAGGCCAGTGGGGTGGAGCTTTCAGAGGACCGTGCTGCTTTACAGTCATGGATGCACACTGTTCACAATGTGTCTTCTTCCATTTTTCTGGAAAAGGGCTGCCCTTTTCAAGCACCATGGACATGCACAGCCACTGCCCCCTGCCAGGACTGTTGCCAGAACTGGGCTCTCTGAAGTTTGATACTTGTTATGTGCATGTGTGTGCCTAAGTGTATGCTAGTGTACCATGTGCATGCAGGTCCCCAGAACTGGAATTACAGGGGTTGTAAACAAGCCATCATTGTGTGCTGGAACCCAATCTGGGTCCTCTGCAAGAGCAGCAATTGCTCTGAGCAGCTGAGCCTTCTCTTCAGCCCCAAGTTGGACATCTGTGGCCTTCTGTTATGCACACCCCTGCCAGTGTGCCTCGTGGAGGATTGCTCTGCACCCTCCTGATCTAGGCTCTGTTTCTGCAGTTGGTAGAATGTAGAAATCCACACTTGTTGCAGCTGGACATGAAAAATGAGCTTTGAGTGAAAGCCAGAAGGCTGTCCTTGATGGGACATGCTCTGCCGGCTTCTGGGCCCTCAGCTGGTCAGAATGATGGAGTGGTGGATACAGATGAGAAGTGTCACAGATAGGAGTTGTCACCCAAGCCCCCAGACTCCCAGGATAATGTAGGCAGCAAACCCCAGGATAAAAATAGTGAACCAAAAAATACGTAGTGACACAGATTCATTGTGTTTTCGCACTATGGCTGAGTCACACAGTCAGTGAGAGGCAGCAGAAGCCTGGTACCAAGCAAGGTTAGGGAGTCTCAACTACCTAAGCTGCTATGAGGTACTGCCAACTGATGTAGGAGAAGGGGTGGGCATAAATACCTAAGCAAGGCAGAGCCACTGAAGCCATCTGGGGAAGTTTTTGGCTTAAACCTTTGAGTCCAAAGAAGGGCCTGTCTTCAGGAAGCTCCCACAGGAGCCAGCACCCTGGGTGCCCTGCTGGGTGAAATTTGTCTGTCCCAGGCCATGGCCCATTTGATCTGCAGGGAGACTGGAGTGGGAACAACAGGTCTTCAGCAAGGTGACTGACCTCCAAAAATATCTAGGACCTGACCGGGCTGTCTCCCACTGTCTTGGGAACGACAGGACTCCACAGGGAGGGTACCTGGAAACACACTGACTTCCTCTAGACCTACCCTCGCTCCCTATGCAGCCGCTGGCTTCAGTGTCCTTGCTGTGGTCACTGGTTCCTGAGTCCCGGGAGGCTAGCCCCAGGACTGCAGCACTGGGAGGACAGGCTGTGCTGTGTCACAGGTGTCCATGACTGGAGCCTCCACAGGCCCATCTGCAGACTCTCAACTGGCTTTGGCACTTGTATAGACTGTCAAGGTTGTGGTAAGTCACTCTTGCAACAGCTGGCTGGCTCAGGCTCTTAAACAACCTAGTATAGCTCCCCAAGTAGATTCTAATAACAGCTTTAATGTGTTTAAATACTAAGATTTAAAGCCATTTGTGTGCGTGTGTGCGTGTGCTCACATGCCATGAATGGCATGTTTGTGGAGGTCAGGGGACAACCTGTGGAGGTCAGTTCTGTCCACCGTGTGGGGTCTTGGGAGTGAACTTACATCTTTAAGCTTGGCAGCAAGTACCCTTACATGAGCCAAACAAACCTGTTTGGGTTTTGTCTATTTGTTCTTGAGTTATTTGCTTCTGCTGCTGTGGATTCTCCGTGAGCACACACTGCTGGACCCTCTCCCTGTGTCCTTTTGTGCCTGATGTTCCACACCTACCCACCACCCTGTCTGTACGTTCACAGAGGATACCTGTGTTCTGGCAACTCCTCCATCTCATGACAGGGCAAGGAACTTAGGTCTGTGACTACCTCCATCTCAGCAGACTTTTCCAATCCCACAGGAAAGGGTTCCGTGAGCTTCCCAGGGCTGGATGACTCTGCAGAAATAGAGCTGACTGCATTCGAGTTATGGGGCCAGTGAGGGAAAGGTGGTACCTGCTGAGGCCTGCTGTAGGCTGACACTTAGTCCCCATGCTTCTTTCTACCCAGTATCCATCAGCAGGGTGGGCTCTAAGTAAAGGATTGAAGCAAGCTCCGTTCCCCATTTTGCTGGTCATGGCATGCCTGTCTCTTTGGTAGGCATGTTGTGATTAAGGATTCTTACTGAAGTCTGCTTGTGAGAACCACACAGCTGTCCCACTGAGGAACTCTGGTGTGTCTTTTCTGGGGGCCCAGCAATCTAAGGCTGTGCGTTATTATCCCTATCAGAAGATGACCACAAGCAACAGCTTTAAATTATTGTTCATCAATCATTAAATCACAAAACTGAGTAGGTGAAGGTCACAGCTAATGAGAAAGGATCTCAATGGAAGCCAATGACGGTAGGGAACATTAGCTGTTGGGGGGCTGGGCAGGGCAGTTCTATCTGAACAGGAACAGAACTGAAAACTTCTTACAGGCTTGGAACACTTGTTTTTGAATAGGACTCAGGTTCAATTCCCAGTACCCACATGGCTAGCCTCAGTCCCAGCAGAGCAGGGAAGGGGCTGTCATGATACCTCTTGGTCAAGGCCTGTACCAAGGGCCTTGCATCTCCTGCTAGCTAATGGGCCTGAAGGGTGGTCCCAGCTTTGGACCCCATTCATTTCTTCCCATGGTTCTCAAATATTTGACAGTTTTAGGGACATAATATTTCCTTAAATGTATTTTCAAAATATATTTTATTTCCTTCTCATATGCACTTTGCAAAAACTATAAGATAAATGATTAGCTTCACTCAGAAACAGGAGTCCTTCCAGAAGAAACTGAATTCATCTCCAGTGATCAGTTTGGCATGGAAAGTAAGCTTGTGTTACCAAAACCAAAGCACTCAGGAATTTTCCTTATTTCCCACTGCCCAGCCCCCTGCTGACCTGTGCCAGGATGGCACATCTATGAGAGAAGGAAAAGACGTCAGTACAGCAGTGGTGGCAGCAGCCTGTGGTCATAAGGAACCTTCCATAGGAGCCGAGTGCGCAGGTGACACGTCAATTTTGTATTCAATTAAGAGCATGTTCTCTTGGAGATGCCATACAGAAATCTTAAAACTTGCTGCATCGTCCGACTGTGACCTACTGAACAGGTGAAGACACCGTTCTACATCTCTGCGTCATCCTCATCCTCATCATCTTTGGCTCTGAAATGCATTTTTCTGAATTCTCGTCTGCTCATGGAAGGACAAGATGAAGAGGCTGGTGGCAGATCCTTGGAGGGGAAGAAAACATGACTTCAGTCTTGAGTGACATTGCCTGGGCACCCAGATCCTAACCTGACCCCGGTCTGCTCTGGGCCTTGCAGAGCTGGCCTCTGTTATAGACTTGGGAAGTCTGTCTAGGCACTGGTCCCTTGGTAGGAAAGGTGCTATGCTCCAAACTAGAGATAGCAACAGAAACATGGTTACATGTTCACAAAATCACAGATCTGACTTCCTAACCTTGTTTGAGGTCCCAGACACACCCAGGGGCTGCAGCCAGGGACCCCGCCTTCCCAGCCTTTCAAACCAGAGCCGCTTCCCAGTTTATGAGCCTGAGTAGAGGTGGTGTGAGGGAGGCACCTCAAATAGCACATAGCTCATTTTCTTTTTCTCCTCTTGCATGAACCTGATCCATTTATGTTTACCTTTGTGTTGTGGCATTCTGGGGGCACAGTGCTGGGAGCACATGGTCATGGTAGCTGCAGTTTGTTGCCCAGGCCCTGCACGAGAGTCAGGAGGTAACACTTACCTGCATAAGCTCAACGTTCCCGAAGAAGCGACTCACAGGCATGGGCTGGTTGCTGTCATCATCTAGAAAGACGCTGCTGTCCATCTGGAGCACAGGTGCCTGCACTTCCTCTGTCCTGGGCACAGGCTCTGTCTGTTGGGCAGAACTCTCATCAGACTCCTGCTCTGCGGCAGCGTTGCTGGGTTCTGGTGTGGGCAGGCCATCTTCAGTCTTTGTTGAGGGTTCCTCACTCACAGGCTGGGAGCAGCCCTGGGGAGGCGATTCACTCTCCGGTGCAGGGACAGTAGCCTCAGCACTGTCCTCCGCAAACTCATTTTCACAAGGGGCCACAGGGGCCACTTTTGGCAAAGAAGAAGTGTCACTTTTAGAGTCAGCTTTCTGTAATTCTGCCTTTACAAGGTGACCTTTGTCATACTTGAACTTTTTGGAAGTGCGTCTGTCTGTAGTCTTGTGTGATGAGGAAGCCTGCCAGGAAAGAAAAATGTAAGAGAAAACCAGACCTGGCAAAGGCACAGGCCTCAGTCCCAGAGGCCCCCCTTCTTCCTCTGCCACCAGCTGCTATCTGTCCTGCTGCTAAGGGGCAGGAGGACTCCACGGCACCACTCCAGCAATCTGCTTTCCCAGGGCTTTTTTCCTGAAGTACATGCTTGCTTGCTTTAAAATCATAGTAGGGACACTCAAGATGGCTTAGAGCATAAAGGTGCCTGCTGCCCAAATTATATCCCCAAACCCACATGATGGAAGGAGAAAATCTCCTACTGCGAGTTGTCCTCTGACCTCCACATAAGCACCATAGCATGTGTGCCTCTCCCTCAAATAAATGAAAATATAATTTTAAAAATCATGTAGAAGAACCCAGTTTCCATCTCCCCACTCAAAGCAAGCTCTCAGCTCTTAATGCTTTATCCATCACCAATGCCTGGAGACTATAGGAGGTCAGCAGATACTCAGGCTAGCTTTAGCAAAGTGGCAGCATGCTGTCCTGAGTAAGCGCTGTGCTTACTCAGAGGTGGAGGTGTGCCCCAAGCCCCAGCTGCGTCAGTGTGGGGATGGGATTTCCTGGACTAGGGCGGCTGCACTGTGATGTTCAACAGAGCACATGACAGTCCGTTCCTTGTTGCTTGACCCTCTCTCAGCTC